ATTAATTTCATGATGTTTCTTCTTTTGCTGACTTTTTAATGTAAGGGGGGTTTCCCTTTCATGAGATAAAATGTTCAGTGGCCTCGGCTGTGCTTTCAAAGCTTGTGTCCATGCTAGGGGTCTGGATGCCCGCCCCTCCCCTGGGATCCTTCAGTAAGGGAATGAACGTATCGCTGTGACCGGGACGCATGTCGTTGTCCCAGGCCCCTGCACCGCAAATATGTTTATGGGAGCCAGATGCAGCCTTGAGCTCGCCGCCGGTGCGCAGTGCCATCAGTTCAATCTCATGTTTGGCCGCAGTCTCCAGCACCTGTTGCTTGTTGTAGAACAAGACAAAATTGTTGATGATGGGATGTATAGGCAGGGCTATGGCGATGACCCCACAGAGAAAGCTGATAGCCGCGTTACACCGACCTAAAGTGGTCTTAGGGTAGACATCTCCATACCCCACTGTGGTCATGGTGATCACAGCCCACCAAAAAGACTGTGGGATGCTGGTGAACAAGGTGTCCGGGTGATTCTGCTCCATAGTGTAGCCCAAAGCCGAGAAAAGGAATACCCCCACGCCCATGTACATGAGGAGCAGTCCGAGCTCCTTCAGGCTGCTCTTTAGGGCAGATGTCAGAGTCTGGAGTCCCGAGGAATGGCGAGCCAGCTTGAAAATGCGCGCAATGCGCATTATGCGTAAAGCCTGCACTGCTTGCTGCACATTAGCCAGCTCCATCACTCCCGCGCCGAAGGAGGTCAGAATCAGCACCACATAAAAGGGCATGATCGCCATGAAGTCGATTATATTCATGAAGGACAGTACGAATTTTATTTTATTTGGGGAAGAGATCAGACGCAGGAGGTATTCAATAGTAAACCAGCCAATGCACACGGTCTCGATGACCTCCAGGACCGGATGCTCCGTGAGTTTACCCTCCGAGTCCTCCACCTGCAGGTCGGGGATGGTGCCGACGCACATCACCACGGAGGAGATGAGGATGAAGATGAAAGAAACTATAGCGATTATGTGGGCAGGCAGGGACGATTCTGGCTTTTCCATCAACCGCCAGAGGCATATCTGGAAGCGCTGCCAGCCCCTTGCAGACGGATCGCCTTCTCTGTCGACAAGGATAGTTCTCACTTTCTCGGCTATCTCTGCAAGTTCATCCTCTACCTCTTTCAGGTGGCTTTTGCAACATTCATCCAGAAAATCCGAGTCAATTTTCCAGAACTCCATCTCCTTCATGAAGCAAATTGGACATATGCCTCGTTTCATGTGTATCTCCCCATAATAATACAACTCAATTATGCACTTAAAAGCTTCGGGGTCTCTGTCAAAGTAAAATTCTCCCGTGTCCGGGTCGTAATCGTCACATATTAATGAGATTTCTTCAGAAGATTTGAGTGAACTGTCCACCAGCTCTGCCAGTCGAGTCTCCGGGAAGCGAGTCAACACGTCTCCATACAACACCTGTTTCACTCCGCCGATATTCACCACAATCTCAGTCTCTTCACTGGCCTCAGAACCGTTGCAGTCTGCATACCGCGTCCTCTGGAAGCCCCACATTATTCTGACAAGTCCGCCAGAAAACAGCCAAACTCTTTGAGATTATAACTGAATCCGTTTTCTGACAAAGTTAACGCAAGTCACTAGAAGCTCTGGCGCTGTGCGTAACAACCGACAAACCTTCTAATTTCTGTTCTTTTAGGTTAGAAAAAAGTGTATGCTCAGAAACTGAATGCAGCGTGAAGTCTCCTCACTTCCACTCAGCTGTGTTTGGCAGTGATCATTGCGCCTGTGCGCTCTGAGAAAGTTGGCATTGAAGTGCGCCTACTATCAAGCGTGCCATAACCAAAGCAAACTGAGATTTCCAGGCTTAAATTTCACAATAAAACACGTATAGCAGTATGAGACAGGTAAAAGTGGAGCAGGCTGTTTATTTAATGTATAATTTAAAGACACACTCTTTGTTCCCAAAATTGTACGCCAAGTTATGTTCATTATGGGATGCCAATAGTAGCACATGCAAAATTCAATGTATAATTTGTTCAATAATAAATTAGCGCATTATACTAATTAAAGTTATGGTTTGTTCTAATATTCACTCAGCTTGCTATAGCCCCACCCGACCTATTAGCTTGGCATGTTATGCTTTTATTTTTTAAAGTTCGCTGGATGTCTTCCGCTCGCGCAGTGCAGCCAGGCGCAGATCATAAATCTCCAAGGCATGTGATTATTTGTGAAACGGTAGGGTCATAGTCGTACCCCTGGGTTGGGTTGGAGGAGAACAACAACTGGTTAAAGTGGCAGTTAATCAAATCATCCATTTTCCCATCAACAGCGGATGAAATCTTAACCCATCATCCATTTTGAATTCATTATCACGCAGCGCAACAGCTCAGCAAACAGCTAATTATTAAGTACTTAATATGAGGAGTAATCGAGGCTTTTTAAGGAAAAGCAACTAAAAAAAACGTAACTGGCTCCTATTACTGGCTGGAAATTACAATCAGTGGCAGCTTTACTGTAATGCGTTTTTCTTACACTTTTGGCCTATACACATTTTTAATATATTTTCCAGAATATTTATTTTCTGTGTGTTTATTTTATGTATTTCTTGTCTTTTTATAAGTTGAACACCGAGTTCACCTGATCAGACCTCCAGCTCACTGAAGTAACAGCTTGAATGGCTTTCAGCAGCCATTCTGCATGTCTTGTTCTTTGTCTCCACCTACAGACAATATCTTTGAACGACTGCATCTTAAGCTATCTTCGAAACACTTCCCATGTTTGCACTTATCAGTCATTCACACCTATGGTCAATCTAGAATGACCATGCGTAATTTGTGGACTGTGGGAGGAAGAAAAGCCACATAGGAACGAGGAGAACTCAATTTTGACCACATTTCCTCTAAATTCTAAAAAAAAAAAAAAAAAAAAACAAAGAAAAAAAAAAAAAAAAAAAAGATGACAAAATATATTGCATTTAAATTTTGACTATATAGTTAGGATGTAAATGTCATTTACGTGCAGTCATTACTTCATTTGTCCTCTTTACTGCTTGGTGGACCCTCTTTTGGCAGCTAGATTCTTGCTTGAAACCACAGAAGCTTTGATTATTTTACATAGAATGAAATTACATTTAATGCGCCCTTTTTAGTGACTGATAAAGTGATTTATTGTAAAAATTATAAAACATTTTTTAACTCATGGAAATTTATTGTGATATGAAATGTAGAAATTAAAAATCTTCACATAGGAGTTAAAACTCAGTCTTTAAGGCTGATTAATAGGTCTCAAACACAGACCAGCCACTTCATTAGGTGCATCTTGCAAGTGCCAGGTTGGACTCCTTTTATTCTTCATGGCATGGATTCAACAAGGTGCTGCAAATATTCCTCTGAGATGTTGGACCATATTGATATGATAGCATCGCACAGCTGCTCTAGTTTTATCAGCCGAGTTTCCATTGGATATCCAATTCCACCACATCCCAAACGCGCTCTTTTAAATTGAGATCTGGTGACTGTGGAGGCCATGTGAGTGCAGTGAACTCATTGTCCTGTTCAAGAAACCAGTTTTAGATTATCTGAGTTTTGTGACATGGTGTGTTATCCTGCTGATCAGAAGATGAATACATAGTAGTTTTAATGGACTGGACAGGGTTAACAACAATACTGAGGTATGATGTGATGTGTAAGAGGCTCACTTAGTAGTAAGGGGGTCAAACTGTAAAAAGTATGCACTCCACCTACAGCCTGAACCATTGACACAAAGCAGGATGGATCCATGCTCTCATGTTATTTATGCCAAATTCTGACTCTGCCATCTGAATGTTGCAGCAGAAATCGAAGCTCATCAGGCTCATTTTTCTAATCTTCTGTTGTCCAATTCTGGTGAGCCTGTGCAAACCATAGGCTCAGTTTCCTGTTCTTAGCTGGCAAGAATGGCACCTAGTGTAGCCTTCTGCTGCTATAATACATCTGCTTAATGGTTTAGTGTGAGTTTACAGAGTGGTTGTTTGAGTTACAGTTGCCTTCCTTTCAACTCAAAGTAGTCTGGTCATTCTCATCTGACCTTAACAAGGCATTTTGGCCTAGAGTACTGCTGTTCAGTGGATATTTTCTCCTTTTTGATCAATTCTAAAAATGGGAGGATTGCATTAGGAAGTGCATTTGGTGTAAAATCCATGCCAAATGAAAGCACGTGAATTCATTCCATGTGGGAACCTCTTAGGAAGTAAGGGAGCAGCCAAAGGTACTTTTTTTCATCCTAGAGATGATTGAGCAGGAAAATGCCAATAGACCAGCAATACTGAAATACTCAGACCAGCCTGTCTGGTACCAACAATCATGCCACATTCAAAGTTATTTAAATCACCTTTCTTACAATTTCTGATGCTCAGTTTAAAGGTTATCGCATGTACATGCCTAAATTCATTGAGTTGTTATCATGTAATTGAACGAGGTGTACTTAATGAAGTTGTCAGGGAGTGTATGGATCAGTTTTATGTCTCTTTACACTTTATGATGAGGAAAAGTTACAAAAAAATGTAGTTTAGATTGTTGGTGTTTCACATTAAGGCAAAGCATAATAATTACAATTCAATAAACAATGATAGTAATATAGTAACGAATAGATACCATTTATTTTTATTTTAGTATTATTTTATCTGTGTAACTGTCTAAAACTTATTGAGAAGTAAAGTTTATGTATTATTTACACTGAAAAGCATTACTTAGCTTTTAAGTTTGGCTTGTCTTTGCATGCCTTTGCATAAGCAAAATCTGTACGATACTGTGTTTAATATGTACAGTCGCATTCCATCTGTTTGTAATGAGTCAGCCTTCTCACGGATCACATCCTCTTGCTGCTGTTACATGTGTTGCTTCCTTTCTCCTCCGGCCGCTCTCTCCCGTCTTCAGTGTACCGGTTCCATTAAAACTACACGGCGCGCGCTGATTGGCTGAGCTCAAGCGTCGGCATCAGCGGACCAATCAGGGTGGGCCACGGTGAGATTTTTCTGTGTACTTTTGTGAGCGACGCAGCGGCAGCGGACTGTGTTGTTCTAAGTGAGGAGACGAGCATAGAGAGGCTGAAATCATGAAGCCACTTTTACTCGGTGAGTGAGAACAGTAGAAGCTTTTCTGCTTATACTAAAGTTAAGGTTTGTGGGTTTGTTAACTAAATGTGAATTTGGCGGCGTTTTGTTTTTTTTTTGCTCGTCTTGTTAGCTTAAATAGCTAAGTTAAGATTCAGAGAACAGAGCCAGGCCTTCGTTATCGTCTACTGAATTAAATAATAAAAGTCATTTCCTTTATTTGTTAAATAAATGTAGATTATAAACTGCACACAAGTAGATGTAAAACATTTTTTCGCTGTTTTCTTAAACCAAGTGACTGTTTCGGTGAATGAGCATGCATTGCTAGGCGTCATCCTTTTCCTCTTGTCCTCATGTTTTGTTTCAGGAGTACTGGGCTGCTCTCTGGTTCTGGCTGTCCAAGCTTTGTACTCGGCTAGTGATGATGTGATCGAGCTCACCCAATCCAACTTTAACAGAGAGGTGATCCAGAGTGACAGTCTGTGGCTGGTCGAGTTTTATGCTCCCTGGTGAGTTTGTATAACTGTGATGGACTCTTCTTGTCTTGTAGTGGTAACAAGTGTTCTAAGAACAGCCAGTGATTATAGTTTAAATACCAGTTTCTCATCTTTGTGTTTTATTATCAAGTCATCTGTTTTACATCTGTACTTGTGATAGGAATAGACTTGTCTGGTAAGTTGGTAGCTCCTCCTTAGGTTGAGCACCATCTCGTGCAAAAGTGCTCAACAGAGACACAAAGGGAGAATAGTTTGTGCGTAGATGCACACAGTCTACATGCTTGCGTGCACACAGGGTTGGTATAGCAAAACTCAATTCTGCAACAAGAGGCAGTCGGCGGAGATGTGACTGCACAAAATCTATGCAAATCAAGTGTTAAATATTCACTCCCTATTAATACCAGAGCATTTGGTTCAGTGACTAATAAGGGTGCCACATAGCTGTTTGTGCGTTGTATTTAGCAGGTCATTACTGAAGGACTGTAGAATAAATCTCACACTGGCAAAATGATGTTGTTGTTTTTTAACATTAAAATGAGTTTGCGTATAAAAACATGGATTTAGATTTCACTTTCTCTGTTGCTTTCTGCCAGGTGTGGCCACTGTCGAAATCTAGCTCCTGATTGGAAGAAGGCAGCTACTGCCCTCAAGGTAAATACAAATTGCCGTGATCATCTATCTGATGCCCTGTAGACTTTCTGATTGACAGCCTGTTTTCTCAGCTGAATGCCTCCTCTGCATTAAAAACGCCTACATCTGTTGTGGAGAAATATTCAGCGGTGGGCTTTGACTTTAAATTTCACAGTAATTTCAGTGACAGCGCATTCAGTGGATGGTTATGTGTGTGTGCCTTTATTTGATATTTAACAATAAAAAATGGTTACTTAATAAGGGATATTTTCCTGTAAGAAAGAGGTGCTATCTACCTAACTTTTCTGTTGTTGAAAACTAGGAAGAAATGAGACGTTATCCAACCTGGGATGACAGGATCCAGATTAAAAATGACTTGTTTATTTCGTGAAATGTCTTCTCCTTTTTCCACACAGTATTGTTGATATGGGCAACTCCTGTAATGAAATCCCAGTTTAACGGCAATTGCTCATTGGCATGCAAACTAAAGTTTTGTTTTAAGCCAAATAAAAAAGTGTTGACCTGAATATAAACTCAGAAGCTGCATAATCCAAATTGTGTGTTGTGACTTTTCCTCAGGGTATTGTCAAAGTTGGTGCTGTGGATGCTGACCAGCACAAGTCACTGGGTGGCCAGTATGGTGTCAGAGGGTTCCCCACCATCAAGATCTTTGGCGCTAATAAGAACAAACCAGAGGAGTACCAAGGTACAGAACTCTGCTGCTACAACTTTCCTATGTGTAAATTGAAAGTATTTTTCATAGTAAAATCTTCCAAGGCCTACTGAATAAGTTGAGTAAACTGATAAGCTGAACATAATAATTAATAGAAAAGGGGATGCTGGTTTGTTTCTTAATAATCTAACATCTTATCTTGATAAAGAAAGTTCAGGCGACCCCCAACAATTTAAGCAGAAGCATCTATTAGATGAGAATAGAGATGAGCAATAGCAAGAAAAGTCATCCTGTGTAATAGCATCCAATTTGAATTTCACTTTCCTGCTACGTGTACTTATATCTACACAAGGTCACCTTCCCGAAGTCTATGGCAGAAATGTTTTATCTCTCCAGCAGGCTCAGTCCATCATATCATTATGACTTTGTTTGCTGATCCTTGCTACGTCTGTGAACAGGGTCATCTTGAGTCTTATCAAGCACAGTTGTGACTTCACAGAGTATTTTATTGCTTTCAGGGCTTATAAGAGACCTGTACAAAACACTGTATTTAATAAGGTATCATTTTCATAGCTTTCGAGGCCTTTCTTCCTGTGATTGTGTTTGAGGCTGCGTTAACTGAAATCTGCATTTCTGACAACCACGCAGGTGGACGCAGCAGTCAGGCCATCGTGGATGGAGCCATGAACGCTCTGCGTAACCTGGTGAAAGAGAGGCTGAGCGGCAGGTCTGGTGGCTCTGACTACAAACAGGTAATGAACCTTTTTTTTTTTTTTTTTTTTTGCACTTGCATGAAATCACAAAGCTTTAAGAAAACACACATGAGCTGATTTATGTAACTGATAACTGGCTTGTAGCAGAGCGGTGGTGGTGGCGGCAGCAGTGGTGGGAACAAGAAAGATGTGGTCGAGCTCACTGATGACAACTTTGACAAGTTGGTGTTGGACAGTGATGATGTGTGGCTGGTGGAGTTTTTCGCCCCCTGGTGTGGACACTGCAAGAAGTGAGTTTGGTACTCGAAACGGTTAATTCCAAGCAGTAGGAAACTGAAATCCTCCCACTGTAACGATCTAGTGCAGTTGAAAAAGTGAAATAATAGCCCAGTAGGCCTGGATAAGCCTCACTGAAAATCCTCCACTAGAATTTAATCCCACTCAAAACTGTTCAGTGAGGTCTTAGGGATTTTATTCCAATACCTTTAATACCATTTGATATTTCTGAAGAAAATAAAGTTTCTTGCTTGATTTAAATGTCAGTATCTCAGAAGCTAAATGATAAAGTTTTTCTAAGCACCTCTCCTCCTTTGTCAACAGCCTGGAGCCTGAATGGGCAGCTGCAGCCACAGCTGTCAAGGAGCAGACCAAGGGCAAAGTTCGCCTCGGAGCTGTGGATGCTACTGTACACCAGGGTGTGTCCAGTCGCTATGGGGTGAGTAACAGCTGACGTCTTGAAAAGGTGCACTCTTTGGATGTGAAAAAAAACATTTGCATGTTTTCTTGGCTAATTTTAAATGCACAACTTGATTATTGTGCACAATAATCCAGTGGCCACTTTGCCTTGGATACTTCCTAACTCTCGAGTCATTTGTAATGGTCTGTGTTACACTTACATGTTTTTACTGGCGTTTGATACTGAATAAAAGCCTCTGCTGCTGTTTAGCAGAATGTTAAGTTTCAAAGCTCTAAAAATGCATTTGTAATGTGGATTTAGTCGTGTCACACTAATTAAATCAGAATGTTTTTGTCTGAGTAAAACCCAGCTTCATAGTCAAAACTGCAGACCTTGATTTCTTGTTTGATAATCATTCCTCTGTAGATCCGTGGGTTTCCCACCATCAAGATTTTCCGCAAAGGTGAGGAGCCAGAAGACTACCAAGGAGGTCGCACCCGCGGTGACATTATTGAGAAGGCTTTGGATCTGTTTTCTGACAATGCTCCTCCTCCAGAACTGCTGGAGGTCAGTATTCTCATATTTGTATGATAAAGTCATATATAATTGTTTTTAATTACAGTTTAAAATGCAAATTGAAGATAATGTTGTCATAGTCTACAAGAAAATTGCCTGATTTAATGTGTATTTTAATGTATAGTTTGTAAAAAATATATATTAATTCTAACTAGAAAGTTAGAATAAAAACCTTTTATTGTCATGATATGAAATACGAAAATTGAAGAGTAGGCACATAGAAGCGAAGAACAAACATTCAGCCTGTTATAGAGTAAATATAAATTACTATTCATTAAACTACTAATACTTCCCCTTCCCCTCCAAATTAGAAGCGTCATCAGTGCAGGTCTTTAAGTCCAGATTGAAAACCTATTTTTATTCCCTGGCTTTTAACTCTGTAGGAAACTGACACCTTCTTATTTATTTTATTGTTTGTAATGATTTTATGGTATTTTAATTTGGTTGTTGTTTTGATCTGTGTTGTTCAGCACTTTGGTCTGCCTGGTGTGTTCTTAAAGTGCTATACAAATAAACGATGATGATGATGATGATGATAATACTACTGATATAGGGTGTATACACGGTATGGTGATGAAAGCACTTTGTGATAAAAAGTAATGCAAATTCATGTCAGAATATTAAATTTGTGTTTACTTTAAATTCTTTGTCTCTCAGATTCTCAGTGAAGACGTCTTAAAGAAGACCTGTGAGGACAGTCAGCTGTGTATAATTGCTGTCCTGCCGCACATCCTAGACACAGGTGGGATTACGCACATGAACTCAGATCTGTCTTTCTCTTCTTAGATTCTTTGACATTTTTGCCCTTAATGAAAATAAATCATTTTAACTTTTATCTACTTATTTTATGTCAATAATCATGACTCGAGCATGGCTTTAGTGGGCTCCCAATATTTATTAAAAACATATTTTTAATGCATGAAAAAAGGTTCCGCCTTGAGCTGTAAGGCTATACCTCACAACAGGTTGCAGGAGAGTTACCAGAAGCAGTAACAGTTCATTCCTGAATAGCTGATCATCACTGGTCATTATGTCTTAACAGGCGCGGCAGGTAGGAACAGCTACCTGGATGTGATGATGAAAATGGCTGAGAAGTACAAGAAGAAGATGTGGGGGTAAGCACCCAAGGCCAGACATACAGTAGTGTACAAATCACTAAATTCGAGTAGGAAGAGTTTCATATTCATTCCTTGTTTAGTGGTGACTTGAACAAAAGGACAAATTCTGGTGAACATTGAGTTTCGTACGGGTTATGTAAGGAAGAGCGTAACATAGAGTTCGCAGTGGGATGATGATGAATATACAAATCATAAGAATTGGGATGTATAATGACTCTTTCTTTAAAAACATATAGAAGTTAATAATTGCAATATGTGTGACGATGTTCATGCAAAGTTTTGTTCAGATTGCCACACCCTTTAAAGAAAGAGGAGATTAGGTACATACGCTACAATCACTGATATAGTAAGGGAAATGATGACGGTGATTAACGGCCGACTCTTTCTTCTCAGCTGGCTGTGGACCGAGGCAGGGGCTCAGATGGAGCTGGAATCCTCTCTTGGTATTGGTGGTTTCGGCTACCCTGCCATGGCTGCCATCAACACACGCAAGATGAAATTTGCTCTGCTCAAGGGTTCCTTCAGTGAGACCGGTATTCATGAGTTCCTCAGGTAAGGAGGTGTAATTAACAAATACAGTACATTACACAACTTGGAGTAGGCTGAGCAGCGTTACTCACATGTGCTGATCTTTTCAGGGAGCTTTCTGTGGGCCGTGGCTCAACTGCCACATTGGGAGGTGGCGTCATGCCCAAGCTTCACACTGTTGAACCATGGGACGGCAAAGATGGACAGGTGAGTGGGAATCACATTGACATAATGGTTGGAATGTGTAGCACTGCATGTAGACTAGCATAGGGTAGTCAAACAACCTTAACTGGTAGGTGAATCAGAAAACGGGTACTGAAGCTGAACACAGACAAGGGCCAAAATGACTGGATTGGATTATCCCCTGAACCCAAGGTTTATGGGCTGTCCCAGTGGGACAAACTATTAGTCCAGGGCAAGCAATTTGTAGTTAAACTGAATCTGTACGTCTGCTTAGTGTAACAGAATAAATGCCGACCAGCTTTGTACCGCCTCTGCACTGAAACTTTGTACTCCATCTGCATTATTATGCAATATTGCAGTGCTCTTAAATCCAGATAACCTTCTTGTCTCTTTAAATAATCTTTGAAGAGGTTCAGTCCATCTCAGTCTTTGCTGACAGCTCGTCTTTATTTTATGCTCTGTCATCCTCAAGCTTCCCGTGGAGGAGGACTACGACCTCAGTGATGTAGAACTCGATGACTTCAAGGACGAGTTATGAGTCCAAATGGGGCAGGACTGATCCAGACTATCTGCGTTTGGTCTGGTCTGGTCCTGTGCGATCCACCTCCCCTCTCCTGTGGACGAATGGGAGGCCCAGTCGCCCAGTTACTGAAATATTCCTGAAAAGACACATGAGAGACACCTGCGGTTTCTCACATCATCTTGTTAGTCACAAGGAGGACAGGAAGGAGGGGAGAGTGTGTCGTGTCCTCTGAGTGAACTCTTTCTCACATACCTGCTGAACGCTAGATGCCGCATATTTAAAACAGCTGCCGCCCACTGAGGAGAGGAGGGTGGAGCTTCCGAATGTCACATTTTTGTCATAGTTTCACTTTTTAAAACATTGCCTTTCCTGCCCTCGTCAAGCACCTACTTTGAGATGTGGACTTGTCAAATTAACACTTAAACGTCCCACCTGATGTGACTAAATTTGTCTCTTTTTAAACCAGTGACTGAGGATGTTGGTGAGTTTGCATCATGTGTGTCCAGGACAAATGGGGATACCAAGGGGGGACTTCTTGTGTAGATTTTTCTTACACAACTTTATTTCAATTGTGTGAAAACAAAAGGACATTTTTGTTACAAAAATAAAAAGAAATTAAAAATAATCACTGCCTCATTATTAACATGAACTGTAAACTCATTTCACTGAGCACATGCAATACCAAAGGCATAGAGAGAGCTTGTTAAATACAGCAGCTTGTGCCAGTTCAAGCTACTGTTATCTTGAATCAGAATACTTTATTAATCCCAAAGGAAATTAATAAAGAACAACAATAAGCCACATTTTAACAATTAAATTGAATAGAATTAAGTGATTTAATTAGTTTCCTCTTAGTATAACATGAGAGTATAACATGAAAGTCATAATACTTGAAAGCATATAATCCTGTAAGCATAAATAAAAGATATGGCACTTACAGCAAATGGGTATTCAAAACGAGACGTTTTGAAATGCACAAAAAAAATGCCCTGACTGAAAATCCACTTCATTGTCCACAGAGGAAAAAAAGCCACATTGACCAGAGAAGTGTACATTAATGTAAACATTAAGACATGGAGTGTTAAATTGAAAGGAGGAGGGGCTGTGATGAAGATCGATCCTCTGTCAGAACAAGCGGCACAAAGCTGGAGGGATGTAGGTGTGCATGAGCTGCAGGGTGTGATCACTTTCACTGTGTCCTCAGAACTGACGAGAGGCTCCCTGATCCGACTGCAGCAGTCTGACAATGGACGGGTCGCTCTTGGCACCTTTAATGAACTCCTCCAAAGACAATCTGCCTGTGGGGAGGAAAAGAAAATGTCAGTTATGAGCAGTAAAACATGAAAATGTTTTACATGCAGCAACTACCCACAAAAATCAGCTACTGATGTTTCTTTTGAGATGGTGACAAATAACACTGCATTAAGTAGTTTAAAATAACCTAAAGGACCTGAGCCAGAATCATGGTATTCATAGCCGTCATGTTTCTTGTCCAGCAGGTGACGCTGCTGTATGTATATAACTCTATGCGAGTGCAGTTCTGCATGAGAGATGTGAAACCTTAACCATGTTTTACCCGAACATTCATCACTCTCATAGTATACATATGACAGAAATTAAGTAAAAACATATCAGGTGTACTTTAATTTTGTTTAAAAGATTTTTTTATTATTCTAAGATGAAACAGCAGAAAATTACACTTTTTTGAGTCTAACACCTACTTTTTCTTACATAATAGCATTAGATAAGAGGTTCACTCGCTCTGTAACTTACTGGGTCTGGTTTGACCAATCACACCAGTGCTACTACTGCCAGTATTCTGACTAACAGGAAGGCAGTGGGTGCCCCAACCTAAGCAAAGATCAGGTAAGGTTTCCCCAAGCTCCTTAGTGGTCTTGATTTCTGATTAGCCGGTTAGCTTAATAGGGCTTAAAGATTCATTTTAAATGTGTTAGGTTACCTTCAGGTGGCACTGACACCACCCAAAAAAAATTTAAAATTTGGACTTTACAAGTGGCCTGTGTTTGAGAGATTGTGTGATGCCGGGAGCATCCTTTCTTTTTAGAGCTCCAGATGTGTTATGCTTTCAGCAGAATTTTATTACGTTGTTTTGGTCCTTGGAAAACTGAGTAAAGTAGTTCAATACAGTTTCCAGCTTTCATGGGTATGTGGAAAAAACATCCTTGAGCATCGCGGATGCAGCCTACAATTTACCCTCTACCCTCCTCTGCAGCTGTGGTTTCAGGCGTGGCATATGGCATCACATGATGTCTTAAAACGTCTGTCTGAGACACAGCTTGACCTTCACAATGTCAAAACAAAACACTCCTGCCCAGCACCATAGCTCCAGATATCTTGAGCTGTGACGTGTCAGATTCAGTAAGGAAAGTGCATTTTTTGATGTATCATTCAAGTCACTCTAAGTGTCAATCCATTTATGGTAAGCCTGTGGATCACCAGGCTGGGAGCCAATCATAGCTACTTCGTGTGATATGACATGAATCAAAGTGCCAAAAGTGTTCTGCAAGTCATGGTTTTCATGTAAACAGCTGTTACATAAGTAATCTTTCACAACAGACAACTGTACAGAAGTCTTGCGTCACATGCGGCCTAATTTCTTTATATTTTGCTAGGAAAATACTACACTAATACTGAAGCATGCAAACATAAAGGTAAATATATACATATGGTGCGTGCAATATATATAAATATTAATATCAATATAAAGAGCAAAAACCCTTTATATTATACCCTAAAAAAAGTTTGAAGAGTCAGAAAGTCAGTATTTGGTTTGACCACCCACACTGAACTCTATTCAAACCACATTTCTTTTTATTTATTCCTAAAATAGGAAAATGGTACAGGGATTTATTGAAACATATTTGGTATGGTCGCCTTTGTGCTTCAACACTCTTTGAACTCTCCTAGGGAAGCTTTCTTTTCATTTCTTTAAGTAGACTTCAGGAAAAGTTCTGCATCCTCCAAAAGGTCATTCAAAACTCTTCTTTGGATGCTCACTCCATTTTGTTCCATTTTCTATCAAGATAATCCGATACTGCTTCAATAATGTTGAGGTCTGGGGAATGCCGGTCCCAAGCCCAGATAAATGGGGGAGGGTTGTGTTAGGATGGGGAGGTGTAAAGTTTTTCAAATCAAACATGCTTGTGGAAATATCGAAAAATTGACATATTGTATGGAAATCTCATTCTCATCAAGAATGAGATTTTCATATCAGAGTGGTCGGTGCTCAGGTTAACTACTACAGATGCTGTTAGCCAAAAGGGTGACGGTGGAAACTATGTTACTGTTGGCCAAAGACAAAAGAAGAGAGGAGGCTAATACTACGCTAGGTTAGTAGTGTGGAGGTAAGAGTAGACTTTCAATGTAATGAATACGCATGCTGGCTTAGATGATTTGTCCTATTTCCTCACATTTTTTTAAGTACACACTGCACACCATGTAGAGATATGCCTGGATTTCTCTTTAGGAGCTCTTTAGGAGTAAATGTTATTTGTTCAAAAATACTACTGCATGCCTGTCAAACTTTGTTATGTTTGTCATTTTAACTGGATTCTAAGAAATCAAATGATATTGTATGTTTTTGCACCAGGCTGTTAAGTGCCTAAAAATCCAGTTCAAAATAGACCCTTGGCTAAGTTGTATTTTATGTGTAAACACAAGACTAGTCCATCGTCTTAGGTGGGTGCCCTTTTTAATACTTGATTCATATGTCAGTGCTTAGTGGCTTAACAAGATAACAAAACCCCCGAAAAGGTGTCGGGTTCAAGGACAGGACTGAAAACGAGTGAAAAAGCAGTTACTGTCCAAATAAAAAGTCTAGAAAACTTTAAAGTGCTTAAGACTACTAATAATTACAAAACAAAAAGTCTGACTCCTTGGAGACAAAACATAAAGAAATGAAAGGTGGCTCAAGACTTTTGCACAGTACTATATGTTTTTCTTTTTCTTTGTGGCCATATCCAACCAAGCCGATAGTGAAAACAAAAGTAAAGCACGAGTTAAAACAGAACTAATGACTAAAACTAAAACCAGAAGTCCACAATCGTGGTTTCACTAAAGCCACCTAACCTGCTTACGCATGCACTCTTGAAAAGTTAATACAAACATCAGATTTAGTTTTATAGTAGCTATCAGTGTAATGTTTATCGATACTCTTCACAGCATCTCTTCGCCATTAATAAAGTTTCAACAACACTTGTCACAACTTTACAATAACTATCCAAACAGTATTTATCAGGTGGTTTACGCACCAAATATACAATCACTGGCCACTTTGTTAGCTACAACTCTTCAGCTGCTTGTTAATGCAAATATCTAATCAGCGAGTCACATGGCAGCAATTCAAGATGATCTGCTGAAGTAGAAGATGAGAATCAGAAGGGGAAAGAAAGGCGATTTAACTGACTTTGAATGTGGCATGGCATGTTGGTGCCAGACAGGCTGGTCTGAGTATTTCAGAAACTGCTGATCTACTGGGATTTTCCCACAGAACCATCTCTAGGGTTTACAGAGAATGGTCCAAAAAAGAGAAAATATCCAGTGAGCGGCAGTTCTCTGGGCCAAAATGCCTTGTTGATTTTAGAGTTCAGAGGAGACTGGCCAGAGTGCTTTACACTGATATGAAGGCAACAGTAACTTGGTTTATAATAATAGTTATAATAAATCCAGGTATGCAGAAGAGTATCTGAATGCACAACATGTCGAATTAGATGCAGATGCACTAGAGCAGCAGAGGATCGCTGCTGTCAGCTAAAAACAGCAAAGCGAGGCTTCAATTTGCACACAGCCTCATCAATATTAGACTAAAGAAAAATGTTGCCTGGTCTGATTAGTTGATTTTGATTTCGAAATTCAGGTTTTTACCGTCAGCATTTGGCATGCACAACATTAAAGCATTGATCCATCCTGCCTTGTATCAACAGTTCAGGATGCTGGTGGTGTAATGGTGTGGGGGTTATTTCCTTTTGGGTCCCGTAATACCAACATTTAAATGCCACAGCCTACCAGAGTATTATTGCTGACTATGTCTATCCCTTAATGAGCACAGTGTGCACCATTCCTCAAAGCTCAAATCATCTTAAACTGGTTTCATGAGCATGACAATGAGTTCACTGTACTCAAATAGCCTCCAGAGATGCGGTGGAACAGGAGACTCAGATCATGGATGTGCAGCCAATACATCTGCAGCATCTGTGTGATGCTGTCGCGTCGATATGGAGCAATATTCCTCTCTGAGGAATGTTTCGGCACCTTGTTGAATCTGCACAACAAAGAATTAGGGGTAGCTCTGAAAGCAAAAGCGGGCCAAACTCAGTGGCTGTGAATTTTACTAACAAGCAACTTAAAGTGTTGACTTTATTCTTCCCAATGTCAAACTGTCCATCTATAACAGGACCAGTTTTAGCTGGACCAGATGCATGACTAACATACTGATTAAGCATTAATAAAAAGTCGATTTATTTATTTACTGTGAAAAGAACAATTTGGTTCACAATGATGTATGCAGCACATGGAAATAAGACACCAGCCTTACCATCATTGTCAATATCCATCTGTCGAAAGATCTTATCTGTCCTTTTCTCTGGTGTCGATTCATCC